GGGACCTGGTCGCCGAGGTCGGCCAGTACAAGCTCCGGGGACACAAGGACCAAATTACCGGTCTGCGGTTTGTAGAGCCCGAACCGCAAATACCGGAGAGTGATGGGGACGAGATCATGGCCATCGACAACGAAGCGTCAGAGGGCTTTCTCTTGACGACAGGGAAAGACGCTCTGATCAAGCTTTGGGATTTGGGATCGCGACACTGTATCGAGACACACGTTGCCCAAAGCAACGGAGAATGTTGTGCTTTGGGAGTTTCACCTGACCTCACGGGCTGCATCACAGCTGGAAACGACGGCGAGATGAAGGTGTGGGCTCTTGATATTGTGTCACTTGCCTCTTCGGCGCAGAAGGTCGACCTCTCGCAGGCGGTACGATTCCTACACGACAGGGGGACGCTGCACAGGCAGAGCAAAGAAAGGGCAGTAGAAGTTACCTTCCACCCGCGGCGCGACTACTTCGCGGTGCACGGTGTCGAAAAGAATGTGGAGATTTGGAGGATACGATCGGAATTGGAAATTAAGAAGGCCCTGGCGAGGAAGCGTAAGAGGAGGAGGGAGAAGCTGGTAGCCACCAAACAGAAAAAGGGGGCCGAGGATGCCGAATTGGAAGAGGATGAGAAGGCCGACGATGTTGCCAACGCTGACGTCTCCGATGTTTTCGTGCAGCATGTTATTGTCAGGACCACCGGTAAGGTCCGGTCAGTGGACTGGGCCACAAGCCAAGGGAAAAAGGATCTGCAGCTCCTCGTTGGATGTACCAACAACCTCCTCGAGATGTACAGCATCGTCGGTAGGGACAAGCTCAAGTCCAAGACCGACAATCCTGATTACAACCGGGCCCTCGCAGTGGAGCTTCCTGGTCATCGGACAGATATTCGCTCACTGTCGATCAGCTCCGACGACAAGATGCTGGCATCTGCGGCGAACGGCTCCCTCAAGATCTGGAACATTAAGACCTCGACGTGCATTCGTACGTTTGAGTGTGGATATGCTCTTTGCTGTGCGTTCTTGCCTGGCGACAAAGTAGTCGTGGTTGGAACCAAGGAGGGCGAACTTCAGCTCTACGATGTCGCATCAGCCGCGTTATTGGAGAGCGTTGATGGACACGAAGGCCACGCCATCTGGGCATTGCAGGTCCATCCAGACGGGAAATCAGTCGTTTCCGGCGGAGCCGACAAGACAGCCAAATTCTGGGACTTCAAGATTGTCCAAGAGCAAGTCCTTGGTACAACCAGGAGAACACCAAAGCTCAAACTCATCCAGTCGAGGATACTCAAGGTGTCCGACGACATTCTCAGCCTGAAATTTTCCCCCGACTCTAAACTCCTCGCCGTTTCCCTCCTTGATAGCACGGTCAAGGTCTTCTTTACCGACTCCCTCAAACTCTACCTCAACCTCTATGGCCACAAGCTCCCCGTTCTCAGCATGGACATCTCTTACGATAGCAAACTCATCGTGACGAGTTCCGCTGACAAGAACATCCGAATTTGGGGTCTCGACTTCGGTGACTGTCACAAGGCGCTGTTCGGCCACCAGGACAGTATTCTCCAAGTGGCATTTGTCCCACACAACTCCGATGGCAACGGGCATCACTTCTTCAGCGCTAGCAAAGACCGCACCATCAAATACTGGGATGCCGACAAATTCGAGCAAATCCAACGAATTCACGGCCACCACGGTGAAATCTGGGCGCTCGCCGTCAGCCACTCAGGTCGCTTCCTCGTCAGCGCAAGTCACGACAAGAGCATCCGCGTCTGGGAAGAAACCGACGAGCAGATCTTCCTCGAGGAAGAGCGTGAGAGGGAAATCGAAGAGCTATACGAAAGCACCCTCACCACCTCCCTAGAACAAGATCCTGATGCGGAAGACGGCAACCGAGAAGTCGGCGCCGCAACCAAGCAAACCACAGAGACCCTCATGGCCGGTGAGCGTATCGAAGAAGCTTTGGTGCTCGGCATGGCGGACCTCAACGTCGTGCACGAATGGGAGGAGTTGAAGCGGCTCAATCCCAACGCGGCACCACCCCAGCGAAACCCCATCTTTGGCATGCTGGGCAACATTTCTGCAGAAGCGTACGTGATGAGCGTTCTGCAGAAGATCAAAGCCGCGGCGCTGCATGATGCTCTGCTAGTGCTGCCCTTCGCATCAGTACCGATGCTCTTCACCTTCCTCAACATCTTCGCTAAACGCTCCATGAACATGCCTTTGACGTGTCGGATCCTGTTCTTCATGCTCAAGACGCACCATAAGCAGATTGTGGCTAGCAAGACGATGAGGACCATGCTGGACGGGATCAGGACGAACTTGAGGGAGGCGCTGAGGCGGCAGAAGGATGAGATGGGTTACAATATCGCGGCGCTGAAGGTGGTCGGGATGCAGATGGCTGAGAGCAGCATCAAGGGATTTGTAGACGAGAAGTGGGATGAGGAGAGGGAGAAGGAGGAGAGCGCGGCAGTGAGAAAGAGGGCTTTTGTTCATGTGTCGTAGAATCTGGAATGCGCAAGATACGGTGTTAGGTCAAGATATCAATGGTAACTGTCACAAGATTATTGGGCTGCTTGTGGTTGGTACGAAACACAAATGTGCACCAATATCCTGGGATAATCGTGTTGATTCTAATCCATAGTCAAACCAATGTGTTTTCGAAGCCTCAGTTTGAAAATCAGCCTGATTTCTCGTCTATTACATGCCATGCAAACGGGACACTTTTGTCAGGGTTGCAAACTGTTCCCCGGAATAACGCCCTCCCATGCCTAAAATGACGAATTATAAACAATTATTCTTGCCCTCTGCTCGAGGTAAAACCCAACCCATACAGGGGAAAAGAATAAGGATAATTAATTGGTGCACATGAGCACAATACAGTCATCAATCCTCCTCCGACTCGGGCGTCTCGGCATCTCCCATCTCCTCATCTTGGTCTCCAGCCCTTCCACTATCCGGGGTCGCGTAAGGTGTAGATTCCGCCGTTGCGTCGGCTTTCATTTCCTCGCCCTCCGCCTCTTGTGCGGCCGGAATTTCATCATCGGGGGGAGTCTCCCCAGTCTGGTCCTGTTCCTCGGACGGGGTATCGTCTTTCATAGCCGGTTCCTCGTGAGGGAGTGCGGTATCGACACTTCCTGGCTGCTCCGGCGGGGTGTTTCCCGGGACTGCTACTCCGCTGGGCTGAGGGACGTCCGCCACTGCTTGAACCCCCTGCAGTGGTTGTGGTGCTGGTGGCTTACCGTTGTACGCACGCCAGGTGGGCTGATTCGGGTAGCCGGGTGGTTTTGCAGCTGAAGAATGGACATTGTTGTTTATGGGAGTGGAAAACGCCACAGCGCCTGGGAATGGCTCGCGGTTCGTTGGATGTTGAGGCGGGTGACGCTTTGGGGCAGGCTGCAAAGGAGTGTTGGCAGGGGGAGGCTGAGGAGGCCGTGGAGCCAATACAGGACGCTGTTGCTGGGATACGAGATGTTGACGAGGAGGTAGCTGCTGTTGGGGAGGAGTAGTTGGGTAGTGAGGGGGTTGTGAGTAGGAAGGCTGTCCGTTGGTTGGTGGCCCGGTTGATGGTTGTCCGTTCTGTGACTGGCCGTTTGGATGAGCAGGGGCGTCGGGTAAAGGGAAGCCTCCTGGAGTTCCTGGAGGCGGTCCGTAGTATAAAACCACCCATGGGATAGGGTCACCGGCAGAGGCTGGAGGAAGCCCAGCAGCTACTGCAGGGTGCTGCAGAAACAGTCCAGCCGGGGGCACCTGACCAACCCAGAGAACATGGTGCAGAAATGGCGGCTTCAAAGCTTCCTGTGTCGGTGCCGGTACTGGTGTTGGTGCTGCTGATGGTGTCTGTGCTTGTCCCAGGACTGGCGGCGGAGGATGTGCTGCGGCTTGTGGAGCCGGCGGAGGAGGTGCGGCCTGAGGGGGCGGAGGATCTGCAATGTGCTGGAGCGGATGAGGGTGTCGTTGCGCGGAGCTCATGGCCGGCCGTATTGGGACCGGATGTGTACAGATTGGAGGAGGCCGAATGTGCGGAACGGATTTCCGGGGAGCAACAACAACTCGGGCTGAAGGAGCTGGCTCCCCGTCAGGAACGGCCTCTTTGGGCTGGGTGGCAGGCTGGGGATTCGCTCGCATGATGGGCCCATATCCTCGGACAGCCAGCCATTGCTTCTGCTCCTCCCGCAGTCGAGCAATCTCCTCCGGGGTTTTGGGCGGCAATTTGGGTTTCGGCGGTATGGGGGCAGGCTGTGGCCCATCTTCCCCCTCCGGGGGCGGCGGTGGGCGGGCAGGAAGCTCAATGCCCGTTCCCTTCAGGATCTTTTCGCGATGCTCCCACCAGTTGGAAATAGTGGCAGTGGGTATCTTCCAGAACTCGCTGGCCTCGGCGTATGTAGGCGCACGGTGCCAAATCATCTGGCCGTCAGGGCCCATTTCTGGCTCGAGGTCGCCATCCCCTGGGTACTGCCCGATGCGTCTTCGAGCTACGCGGCGATAGGACCTAACTTCCTTGATCTTGTGCTTCACAAGATACATGATGACTTCGATCTTGCGGTCGCGTGTGTATGAGCGCTCCTTGCGCGCTTTGGGCTTGTCCCATGTCCAGCCCTCAACCTTCTCGGAAAGGGGCTTTGGTTTGGGTCCTTTTCGCTTCTTTTCCACCCCGCCCGCGAGGACCCTGCTGGCGGCGCTCCCCTCCTCTTTTCTTATGGGAGGCATTGCGCGCGTCCGCCACCTCCCTTGTCGTTGAGTTTCGTCTTACACGAGAGGTTGCAATGAGATGTTGCGGATTCGGATTTGCTAATAATTCGCTCGCGTTGGCCCGTGCATATGCAGCTGATTCGCCTGTCGTTGTCCGCTCGAAATTATTGACGTCGGACCATCTCAGGGAACCAAAAACGAAGAAACAAGAACATGGAGGCCTGGAGGTTGATATACGCACTTCTAAACATACAGAATATCTTCTAAAAAGAGCTGGCGGTTGACAACTTAGAGTTTGATATTGTGCAGTAAGCAAAAGATTGCCCAGTAACAGGATTGAACTGTTGACCTTCGCATTACCGATAATTACTGGAAAGTAATTATTAGTACGACGCTCTAACCAGCTGAGCTAACCAGGCTGCTGATTTGTTGAAGGACAATGAGTAAGGGTGGCCCATGATTGCAGCGCAACGCGTGTTGTTGCCATGGCCTGGGAGCCAGCGTGCTTGTGGAGCGCATGTCTCTGATCTATTGCTCAATCAAGCCTGACAATCTTCGACCTGTTGACCTGTTGTGAAGACTGACTTGCCGTCATACCTCCTGCCGAGAGGCCTAGAGGACTGCAAGATGCTATTTAGATCCTGCACAAGGCCATCTATGTTCCGGGGACCTAACATCCTTCGTGCTCAAAGATCTTGCACAGGAGGCAAAGACACCACCCTCACCGGCCCTTTCGGGGACATCCCCTACACAAGATCACAATCACAAAACAATACATAATTGTTTTCCCACAAGACCTTCATTTGTCTATGGGATCTCTAACTGGCCTGCACCGGTGATCCTGATGCCCGTTACCCTCAAGGGCAACCTCCATGCCCAATCCTGATGTGCGGTCCCTATCCTCCCTTCCCTCTTTGCCCAAGCCAAAAAGACATTATCGACGTCTATTAATTCAGGAAAAGAAAAGATGTTGAAGTTCTTTTGTTTTCCCCGTAACGCCGATGCTCTTATGTCGTTGCCCAATGGGTATCGCAAAACGTCATGACTTGGCCTTTTTGGCTCATGCATGTCTTTGTTGAAAGACACCAACCACCCGCCCCCAACACGCCCCTCTTTCTGTATGTGGCGGGTTTTTATGTTCGTTAAACTCCAAATCATGAACCTACCATCCCGAGGTAGAAAAAAAGCTAGAAGCCATCGTAGCCGAGAAACCCAGAGAATCGTCATGGATATATGTCTAACCGCCGACCCAGGTTTGTTGAGAACCGTACGCCTGTAATGCCATGATCATGCCCGAAATAAGAAAAAAACAGGAAAGATAAATCGCCACAAGGACAAGCAAGAATCGCGCATGCAGGAGAAGTTGAATCGTCTGCAGCATTGATTTCTTGACTTAGAACTTGAGAGCCTTGGGCTGCTCCCAGGTGAAGCTCTGGTTGGTACCGAAGTGACCGTTCTTGGCCGTCTGGAAGTAGATGGGCTTGGCAAGGTCAAGCTCCTTGACGATGACACCGGGACGAAGGTCGAAGTTGTTGCGGATAATCTCGACGAGCTCGGAGGAGTTCTTCTCAGAGGTGCCGTAGGTGTCGACATAGATGGAAAGGGGCTCAGCAACACCGATGGCGTACGAAAGCTGGACGAGGGCGCGGCGGGCGAGACCAGCGGCAACGATCGACTTGGCGATCCAGCGGCCAACGTAGGCAGCGGAGCGGTCGACCTTGGAGAAATCCTTGCCGGAGAAAGCACCACCACCGTGGGCACCCCAGCCACCATAGGTGTCGACAATGATCTTGCGACCAGTCAGACCGGCATCACCCTGGGGACCGCCAATGATGAACAGGCCAGAGGGTTGGATCTAGGGTCAGGGTCAGCAGGGAGTCCCGAGAACAAAGGGGCTCGCATCTTACGTGGTAGATAGTCTTGTCATCGAGGTACTTGGCCGGGATGGTCTTCTTGATGATCTTCTCGAGGATCTCCTTGCGGAGCTGCTCAGTGGTGATGTCCGCGCTGTGCTGGGCAGAAACGACGACAGTGTCGACGCGGAGGGGAACGACAGCACCGTTGTCGTGCTTGTACTCGACGGTGACCTGAGTCTTGGTGTCGGGGCGCAGCCACGGGAGAGAACCGTCGCGACGAGCAGCGGACATGGCAGCGTTGAGCTTGTGGGCGAGCTGGAGGGTGAGGGGGAACAGCTCCGGGGTCTCGTCGGTGGCATAACCGAACATGATACCCTGGTCACCAGCACCAAGGTTCTCAAGGCGGTCATCGAGATGGAGACCCTGGGCGATATCGGGAGATTGCTCCTCAATGGCGACGAGCAAGTTGAGGGTCTTGTAGTCGAAGCCCTTGGAGGAATCATCGTAACCGATGTCCTTGATAGCGTTGCGGACGACCTTCTGGTAGTCGATCTTAGTCTTGGTGGTGATCTCACCGAAGACCATGATCATGCCGGTCTTGGTAGCAGTCTCGCAAGCGACCTTGGAGAGGGGATCCTCTGCCAGGCAAGCATCGAGAATAGCATCCGAGACCTGATCAGCAATCTTGTCGGGGTGGCCCTCGCCAACGGACTCGGACTGTCGGAGGGGGTCGGTCAGCCTCGGAGAAACCCTGTCGGGTATGCAGGGGCCGAACTTACGGTGAAGAGGAAAGTCCCCTCGTTGTAGTGCTTCCACCCGCTCACGCCGTTGGTATCGACTCCATTGGTACCGTTGGTGGCCATTTTGTCCCTAGGAAATGAACTAGAGAGACGCTGTTAGTGTCGGGCCCTTCTCAAGATCGTTCTCTGTCGAACGCTGCCACCGGACATTTGAGGATCCTCCGAGGGGGCGGGTCCAGCCCAAAGAGCGATCCCCTGCCCCGCCTTTGAGGAGAGAACAATAGGAGCGAACCCGAGAGTTTTGTGCAAAGAATTCTTTGACAAAGCCCCCATGGTCCAGTACCTCCCCAGAGACGGATGTGACAAGAGGAGAGGTGTCCAGCCACCGGAAAGCAGCAGCTCGTCCAGCGCATCGGGGAATTTACTCACATTCGTGTCAAAAGCCAACTGAAACAAGAGAAACGAGGTACAGAGAATGGAGGACCGAGGGGAGCGGCAGGTGTTGCACTAATACCAGAACGCTTGACAGAAGTCGGGGAGGGAATGTGAAAGAGTTCGAGGGGACAGCGAGAGTATTTGAGGAATTTGTGGAAAAGACGGCCGGGGTCGGACAGCGAGAGGTTGGACACGGGACAACGGGTACCTAGATACCTTTGCGCCGAGTCGCCCCACAGAAATTTTAACGCTCTATCGAAAGCCACCCACCTGACAGTGCCATAAACCTTCGTCTGACATCGAGATGAAGGCGGAAATGCGGACGAAATTGTTCTTAGATCCAAATCCGGGCAACTTCAGACCGTTACTATCAAATAGCTCTAGATACTGTTTCCCATCTGCTAAACCACCCGAAAGATATTTTGTACAGCACTTTACCGGTGTTGTACCGGGTACTTCGGGCTTGGTAAGACCCTCTCAGATTGCGCCATTGGGGGACCCCGCTGACTTTGCTCACCGCACTTGCGCCACTATTGAAAACCGACGGGACCTGCGCATTATCCCCTTGACCCCGCTGTGGGGGCGCTGCCTTGCCATCGGGAAAAAAAAGTCCTTGCGTTCGTTGACACTGGGCAACGGTGGGGGATCTGATAGCACCTTGATGATACCAGTCCGAGTTTGCCGTTGTAACGACCTCACCTCGACAGGCGCAGCCCAGCGTCTCACAGCACGACTCGACCAAGTCAAACAGGACGAACGGCGCCAATCGTTTTCTCGGCTGCAATCAAAGTCAAGAACCCGCACCCAAGATGAGCAAGTACGGGGTAATGGTGATGGGCCCCGCGGGAGCCGGCAAGGTAAGAGACCCCTCCGCGAGCCATTCCCGGCAGCCTGATTTGCGTCCCGCGCACGTATTCTGACGCGATTTTGGTCCCATCTAGTCCACATTCTGCGCGTCCCTTATCACGCATTTGCAGCTGAACAGGCGTTCCGCCTTCTACGTAAACCTTGACCCCGCAGCTGAGACATTCGAGCACACGCCGGACCTCGACATCAAGGACTTGATCTCGCTCGAAGATGTGATGGAAGAGATGAAGCTCGGCCCCAACGGCGGTCTGATATACTGCTTCGAATTCCTCATGGAGAACCTTGACTGGCTCACCGAAGGACTCGACTCCCTTACCGAAGAGTACCTCATCGTCATCGACATGCCTGGCCAGATCGAGCTATACACCCACATCCCCATCCTCCCCAGACTGGTCAGATTCCTCACACAGCCGGGCGCCCTTGACGTCAGGTTGTGTGCCGCTTACCTGCTGGAGTCAACGTTCATCATCGACCGCGCAAAGTATTTCGCAGGATCGCTCAGCGCCATGAGTGCCATGATTATGCTCGAGGTGCCACACATCAACATCCTCAGCAAGATGGATCTTGTCAAGGGGCAGATAAAAAAGAAGGAGCTCAAGCGATTCATCACGCCAGACACGTCGCTGTTGGAGGATGACCCTGCGAACCCCAAGAAGAGGGCTGACGTAGACATGGAAGCCGCCTACAGCGCTGAACCCATGAACAAGGACGCCATGATGTCCGGCGCGTCGTTTCAGCGCCTGAATACAGCTGTCGCAGGACTTCTTGAGAATTTCAGCATGGTTAGCTTTCTCAAGTTGGACTGCACGGATGAGGATAGTGTTGGCGCTATTCTCAGCTACATCGACGACTGTATACAATATCACGAGGCCCAGGAGCCGAGGGAAATGGTCGACGAAGAGGCGGACATGGAAGAGTAACCACGAGCGGGAGCACTTGGGTTAATTTTCAGTGTGGCTTTGGAGGGTCCGTTGCTCGGAATGCGTCAACAGGAAAGGACTCTGGTAGGGAAAATATGCATAGCGTTGGCGTTGTTGGGATATACCAAAATGTATTCTGCCCTTGCACCTTTCCCGCCTTCCTAAGGTGATTATCGTGCCCGTCAGCCCAACCGTGAATATGCCCAAATAATGTCAACACATGAAAACTCCCTGACGCCCTGACCATATGCACCCTCCCGCCCCTCTATCACCGATTACTAGCCCCGATATTCCCGTGTCAAAATCTTCTCCGCCCGGCGCTAGCCATCCTCCTCTCCTTCTCCATGTCATCGTACTTTCGATACTCCCGCATGAACACCTCCTGAAGCATCGTCCCGAAGCCCAGCGCTTGCCTCCCCAAGACCGCCGCGTCGCGCGCGCTCTGCTCCAGCCCCCGCTGCCACATGACCGCCCCCAGCGCAAGTATAACCGACCAGAATAGCATGCGGAAGGCGAGACGCGTCCAGAAGAGCATAATCCGCTGTAGGTAGGCGAGGAGCTGGACGACGAAGACGATGAACGCGAGTAGGAAGATGAGGAT